AGAGGAAATAAGTACATAGTGATGGAAAAGAAGAATCACAATCAACATAGTTGTTTAGGAAGGAGAATCTTTCTCCATCAAAATAATCCTCCTTCCTAAAAGGGATCATCTGAAGGTGAGCCTTGGCGTAACTGATAAAGTTACCGCCATGTGACCGGGAGGTCACGAGTTCAAGCCGTGGAAACAGCCTCTTGATGGAAAAGAAGAAGAATCAAAATCAACATAGTTATTTAGGAAGGAGAATCTTTCTCCATCAAAATAATCCTCCTTCCTAAAAGGGATCATCTGAAGGGGAGCCTTGGCGTAACTGGTAAAGTTGCCGCCATGTGACCAAGAGGTCACAAGTTCAAGCCGTGGAAATAGTCTCTTGCGGAAATGCAGGGTAAGGCTGCATACAACAAACCCTTGTGGTCCGGTCCTTTCCCGGACCCCGCGCATAGCGGGAGCTTAGTACACCGGGTTGTTCTAAAAGTGATCATCTAATCGACCTCTTTTTGAAGAGGTTCAAAGATTGTGATTTCTTTTATAGTACTATATTAATAATAATACCAGTAATTTTTTCAGTACCAAACTATAAATTTTTCATTGAACTTAAGCTCCTTCAACACTAGTTTTGATCCCAGTTCATTTCCTCACTAATGTCAAACCAATACCTCTAAAATCAGTAAATAACACATACACATAATCCCCTGGGCACAAATAAGTTAATATATCATCATCTGCAGAAAACCCTTCTTTTACATCACTATAATTATGTTTTTCATGAACATAACACTAAACCCTTCATAACCCCAAATTACAGGCAAACTAGACCCAAATGATATCATATTTAATCAATTAGTTACAAATTCATTACAAGAATGATCTTTTAAATGTGCAGATTATTAAGTCATTTTTGTATACATGTACAAAAGGGAGGGGAAAAAAAGAAAGAGGGAAGAAGTACCTCCAACAAAGAGCTTAGAAGCTACGCCTCTGTGAGAAAGGAAGAGTGCAGAAGTTGATGGTATAGTACTTCTGTTTGTGGGCAATAATCTTCTAAATGCAGCCATGGCTGTGTTGTGTAAATAGTGGGGAGAGAGTAAGAGGAGGAGTCTCAAGCTCAAAAGTGAGGAACGAGTTAGACCCTTGAACCAGAATTTTACATGGCTGCTCCCTTTATAAAAACTATTTTGATACTAAATGATTTTAATCTTTGTTTACTTTAAAACTGGCACATTTTTAACTAAGGGATCCATTTTTCCTCTCTTCCATAATTTTCTTATTCTCTTCCATAAATAACACTTACCAAATATATCAAAGATTTTGAAAAAAAGAATATCTAAAAAACAATCCGCTCTTTAACGAGGTTGCACAATGGGAATTTTAGTATTTTTTCTTTAAGTTTTAAACTTTTTACTATACAATTTTATTTTTACTCTTAATATACCTTTAATATATTTCAAGTATATTATATTGTGATAATTTGTAATGTAAATATTCCATCAATTTTATTTGTGATAATTCCTTTAATAATAATTTGTTGTTGTTATTGTATATTGATGGAATATTTACATTAAAAACTATCACAATATAATATACTTGAAATATATTAAAGGTATATTATGAGTAAAAATAATTTATAAATGTGTATTATACTTTATATCACAATATGTCATATA